TTGTAACCCAACACATTTGCTGCAGTGACCACATACAAAGCTCAAGCTTCAATAGCCAAGTCCAAGCTTTTGGTTCCTAAAACATGTTCACAACAGCTGCAACAAACAATACCTAAGTTGCCATAACTGATATGCTCCAACACCTCAAGCACTTTCTAAGCCTTGACCATTCCAATGACCAAGTTTAGGAGTCAAAACCAAAAGGCTATCGGGACATCTTAATTGCCACAATTCCATAATCAAGCATCATCAAGCCCCAAGCCTTAGTCAAGAAATCCAAGAACTATGCTTTACTCAAGAAGGAAAACATCTCAATACATGGCAAATGAAAGGAAAATATTGCGAAGGTAGTGCTATGATACTGCTGGAAGAACCTAAATGCTGTCAAGATGAAGTTTATTTTAAGCAATCAGAATTTTTGAAGCGTAGTCAAGCTTTCAAGAAAAGGGGTGCTGGAAGCGTATTTTCCTATATTCATCCATTCTTCACCTGCAACATCCACCACTGCTTGCCATACTCTAAGGAAGATCTTACATGCCGAGATACATGACAGAACTCTAAGAGGCAAGCTATTGACAAGGACCCTTTGCCAAAACGAAAGGGAAAGTAGATGGCTACTGTCATTACGTGCTTTGATGACTTGCTGGACGACGACATATTGTGCCACCCGTGGAAGAATGACCCAAAGCCACCGGAGGCTATGTGGGAACCTTGTGGAAATATGAAGAAGGCCAACTGGAGCAAATATTCAAAATCTGCAAGCTATAACACCCCATGGCTACTTGCTAATGGATGGGAGAATGGTTCCAGCAGCGAAGTATTCACATTGGACATGCTGGAAGAAAGCCACTCGGAGGCTTCATTTGGTCATCAAGATTATCAAGAAGCAGCTGTTGTAACCTCTCATAACTTCACAGAGGTTGAAGAAAGTACAATGGGTTAGGAGTTGCAAATCACTCTTTGATTAGTTGGGTTATGAGCTACAGGCAAGCAAAGCAGCAACTGTGGCTCTGTTAAATATCTACAGAGCATGGCATCCTAGTACAACACATGCCAAATACATGCCAACCTAAGCCACAAGCTTTCATGCTATTGCAAGTCATGCACAACCTTGGGCCCTTTCATATTTGGGGGCTTGATTTGATTGGAGTATTCATCAATGCAAAGTGGCTCACGGTCTTATTATTGCTGAATTGCTTTTGCACCTATCATTTTGTTTTTGGCTTTTCAAAATTTATTTCAAAAATGAACTCCTTATGTATTTTCACCCTATGCTGTCACAACTTTTGTAAAATGCACCACCGTTATAGCATGCCGAGGTGTAAGACGATATTTGCAATGAGAATGGAGTATTTTGGAAGAGGAAAAAGCCTCTAGAATTCTTCCTTGCTTTTATCTTATTCTGTTTTACAAAACATGTTCTTTGATAAAAAAAAAAAAAAGACAAACAAACTTTTCATTAAAAGGCTAAGCCTCTAAGCAGTAACTATACCAAGCAAAGCCACTTAGATGGGGTCCTGAACTGAAACAAGCATCAAGCCTAAGCAAAACGATGTGGGGTATGCAAAGTCAAGCTATTATAAAGAAACGAGCAGTAAAAGGGTATTTTGAGGCGCTGGAATAACGAAACCGTTGACTCCCAATCGGAATGCTCAAAAAACTTCACAACATCCGGTAATTCTTACAGGAGCCTTCGTGGAAATCATGCATACAGTGGCCTGACCTTTTTAAGGCACGGAAAGAGGGTGCATTTTAGGCCAAATGAGTAGACAAGCCTTGCAAAAGTTTTAAAGAGCAATGCATTGAAGATTTAGCTTAAAGGTCCTGTCAAAATTTTGGGCAGCGTATACCTTGTTTTTAAGTTGCCAAGTTGTCAGAAAGATTTCAAGAAGTTCACAAGAGCAAGTTCTCCCAACCAAGCAATATATATATAAGATGTACGGATTACAACATGCCTCAAGCATTCAGAAATTAATGCAAGTTCCAGTGGTTCAGTAGTACATTACAAAGTCATAATGACATAGTCGTTAGATTATCTGAAAAGTACACAGCCATCGCAAAAACAAAGTTACACATGCTGAAGATTAGTACATCCTATGATATCAAGAAATATGGAAGCTGTGCACCGAGCCAACTGACCCCAAGCCAAAGAAAACAACCTGCGAAATAAAAGGAGGTACACTACTAGAAGGTGCAGGGCAGTGCCGGCAGCTATGTTGGATGTTCCGAGAAAAGGAGAAGTAGAAAGCAGCACGCTGGAAGATGCAAGGCAGCGCCGGCAGCTATGTCGCATGTTCTGAGAAGAGGATGAGTAGGAGGCAGCACTGCTGGAAGGTGCAGGGCAGTGTCAGCAGTCATGTCAGATGTTCCGAGAAGAGGAGTATGAGGCACCACTGCTAGAAGGAGCAGGGCATTGTCTGCCGCTGCATCGGATGTCCCAAGAACATGGGGGCTATGGGAATCATGCCGCCATGCGCTATTGCTAAAGCTAAGGGGAACACCTGCACATGCAGACAATCTTGGGAAAAGTCACAGAGGAGGAATTTCCTGAGCCATAATGATACAAACGTAGCAAGACGAGACTGGCTCTATCCCTATAAAGCCAAAAAGATAAACAGTTATCCATGACCAAATTCTAAGCTCATAAAAAAAAAAAAATGGTGCTTTCCTCAAAGCTTTCAATAGCCTCTAATCCTATGCATTAATCATATGATTACAAGCATGCGCTCGTAATGCATATAGTTCAACAACGATAAAGAAAAAGCGAGTCAAGAACGCAGCACACGCAAAATATACGTCAAGCAGGGCAGCCATAATGATACAAACGTAGCAAGACGAGACTGGCTCTATCCCTATAAAGCCAAAAAGATAAACAGTTATCCATGACCAAATTCTAAGCTCATAAAAAAAAAAAAATGGTGCTTTCCTCAAAGCTTTCAATAGCCTCTAATCCTATGCATTAATCATATGATTACAAGCATGCGCTCGTAATGCATATAGTTCAACAACGATAAAGAAAAAGCGAGTCAAGAACGCAGCACACGCAAAATATACGTCAAGCAGGGCAAGTCAAGCTCAGGCCAAAGGAAACGCTTAAGCAAATACCCAAGCAGCATACAATTTATCCATGGCAAGCGAAATTTTCAAGCAATTCTCATGACAAGCAAATTCTCCCTCAAAATGCAAAAGGATTCAAGCATTGCAGAGTATGCACTCTGTCAATTTCTATTTCCACAACATGGGAGAAAAGTCCAAATTTATTCAAGCATGCGAAAAACAAGCCTAGGCCAAGATATCAGTCTATATCTATTCCTACAGAGTTAAAAAAAAGGACCTGAGATTCCAGTGAACGAGCAAAGCCCATGGGCATGAAGAACCCAACAAGCCCCTCGATAGATTCAAGAAATTGCAAAGAGGAAAGGGCATACCTTGTCAATCACCTCATAGGACAACCTCAAATGCACCAATAAAGAAGGGAGGTTGGTGCTGGAAGAAGGGAAGTTGGTGCTAGAAGAAGGGTAGTTGGTGCCGGGAGAGGGGTAGTTGGTTCTAAAAGAATATCGTATCTTCTATTTCACATTACCATCTCCTTCAGCACCATTGTTGATCTCATTATTTATGCAACCAGCTGACCCATCATTGCAATTATCCCCATGTTCTTCTGCGTAGACTTTGGCACCATCATTATTTTCAGGCATACTTGAGAATTGGTCATTCTGAAGATGGATACTTCGGCAACTAAGACTTGCAAGAACTTCTTCTCATGGCTATACGACAACTCCTGAAAAAGATAAATACATCAGTTAAAGAAGAATGATCATGTTTCAAGAGTACATTTGCAGCTGAACATGCTTAGGGATTGGCGCAGAACGTTCTGCTCTGGCCTGGAGAGGGCTAATCGCGACCACTTTTGGTATAAACTTATTTGGTCTCTTAGAATTTCACCGCTTTTGGAAGTAAAAGCCAAGTTGCACCTATCACTTAGAGAAATAACTTACTCTTCAAGAGCCTTGGATGACGATCAAGCAGAGAAATGCATAAACAACACGCTCAATGCAAAAACATGCAAAGCAAAACTTATAGACGAACTTTCCTACCATGTCATCTGGACATCCCACCTTTGGAAAATTGCTAAAAATCAACCCTATAACCAAAAAATCCCAAACTTTCCAGATTCTTACTAGACATATCAGACTTCATTTTCCTAAAAATTCATTACATTTAGAGTTAGGGAAGGCTGTCAAACAGATTCCCAAAACATGTCATGCAACAGGAATTGTGCAATTCATTTTTGTAGTCACTCAGCAGCTTAGCCCCATACTTTGAAATTACTCCAAAAATTCATTTTTGCTTCAAATGACACAAGATCAGTTCCAACACAACCATTGAGAAGTTTATTTTCATGTATCAAAAGTTCCAACTTAGATTTGAAAAGAAAGTTTTCAAAAATTCACAAAACAGCCAGCAAGCTACTATGAGTTACTTATCACAAACACTTGGCATGCATTATTCAAAGGGAGCTTGTATGAGTCTTGTTTATCACCAAGCTGAAATACTAAATCACAAGCTCAACCACAGAATTCAGTGCTTAATTCACCAATTTTGAGAAATACAAAGGAATTCAAGCTTCAAGAAAACAAGCATGCATTGGAGGCGTCAACATCAATCCATACACATACTTTAGAAAAATGAGGGCAGAGAACACTACAATGGTTGGATGATTCTCAATTTTGGATATGTTGTAAACAACCCGATCTCAAGCAAATTTCATGAAGCAAGCACAGTCACCAGAGTAGTAGATATTAAAAACAAGTGCAGAAACCGAATCTGCAGAAACTCACCAGCCATTGATGAATACAGAAGCTGCGGACCCATTTTAAGGCATCAGAAAAATTCAGAAAATTCTCAAAAGTTTACAGGCTTTAGTCCTCGAGTAGATGAACAACTTTCATGGAGAAAGTTTTCTGATTAGAACTTCCGAAATGGAGCTTCTAAATTGATGAATAGTACCCACGGGTTTGGATTCTTGAAGAAGAAAAGAAAGAAGAAACCAAATTAGGAAAACAGAATTGTGGCAGAACCATAAATCCAAGCAAAAGTCATGGCAGAATTCGAAATATAAGCAAAGGTGATGGCGGAATAGTAGATTCAAGCAAGATTGGGGGCAGAAATGTAAATACATGCAAACTCAGTGGCATAATCATAAATTCAGACAAGATGGGGAAGCAATTCTTGGCAATCCAAAGCAATCTCTACAAAACACCAAAAACAATCCAGATTGGGAAACCACAAATAGTTGTTGGAGCGTATAAATTTGATTTTTGGGTCGGGTTTAATTATTCGGCCCATTCTATCCATGACCCTAATAATTAAGGGGGCTAATGTTGAGGCCCAAAAAATCCATGGTTGGGCCCGAATAAATTTCTAGCCCAAGACGATATATTATTGGAAAAAGATCCGATTTAGAGCACATGAAAGTATGACATACACGAGTGAAGAGGAGGTGAAGTCACTATTATTGGAAATGACGATAGAAAAACTGCGACTTTTCTCCTCGTTGTAGTCACTTCACGGCTCGAAATCAGGTCTGGAAAATCAGTGGGTCGGGTAGAGGAGGTGGAGAGGAGTGTTTTGCAAGTTGTGGCGTCGAATTTGGTGGCCGGACGACACTGAAAACGCCGTTGGCAGCTGTGGTATCGATGGAGAGAGAGAGAGAGAGAGAGAGAGAGAGAGAAGCATGAGGAAGAGAGAGAAGACCAGATTTTTTAAAACCCAACTTTAACAAATTTACGGTTGTGCCACTACACTTCCGTTGACCACAACGTTTTCGTTAAAACTCCGATTTGGGCCTACTACGTGTCTACGAACACGTGAGAGCGAGCTCTACACAATGGAGCAAACTCAATTCCCTAAAATTCTTTCCAAATTAATAGTGACCAATTTACCCTTACCATTGAGGGTAAAAATATAATTCCACAATGAAATTTTTAATCTAATAATTATTTTAGATCAATATGTTACAATGTGATCCTCCATTACCCAAACCGTTAGTAGGTCTTTTAAATGCTGACGTGGCAAATTTGGGTCTACTTTATTTTGCTGGCGTGGACTCCACATGAACCAAAAGAATAATAATTTTTTTTTCGCCTAAAAAATTAAACATATGATATATAAAAGAAGAAAACAACATTATATATATATATATATAAAGAGTCATTTTATTTGGACTCATCAATCCTATTCTCTGACCCAACACTAATTTTAAATATAAATAACCTATTTTAACCTTATACGTAATCAAAGTTAAGGATAAAAAAAAAATATTTAAAAAAATATTTTATCGCTAAGCCCAACATAACAATATACGTTCTAGCAACCCTAGTCAAACTTATTTCTCAAACTATCATATTGCTTGACTCTTCTTCTCGTAACTAAACCATAACAAGTTTTATACACTTATATTGGTCAAACGTACCTAGTATTTACTCATGAAGGGTGAGAGTAAAGTTAAGGTGTCTTCCAATAAGGTATGTGTTTTTTTTTTAGGTGTTTAGTTGCATGGTGATTGCAGCTTACATACGGTAGACTAGTACCGAACGCAATAGGATGAATACCATGAATTTTTGATTTGGTGCAATGACCACCATGGGTTTGGATGTCTCGGCCATTTTGGGTTTTCCCCCATTCGGTATGGAGGTAGAAGGCATGATCAAAGATGAGGACTTTTTGAGCAAATTGAAGATGCATCTCTAGCTGAGAGCAACAGAAATACAAACAATTATGGCACTTTGTACAAACCATACACCATTGTAGATGAGGCCGAGCATGCTCGACTCCCTCATAGTGAATATGAACATGCGTCCTTCTTGCTTTTTGGCTTTGTAAGTTCATTTCATGTGTCCAAGAAAACAAGATTATTTTGGAGTTTGCTGTCGTGTCTGATGCTTTGGTCGATGGAAAAAGACTAGCCCTTGTTCCCTACGTTTTATCGCATCTATACCATTACTTGCAAAATATTGTGGCTAACAAAATGAAGATTGACCACAATGGCCCTCTACGGCTCTTTCAATTCTAGCTTCCAGTGTATTTCCCTCAATTAAGAGCCAAGTGCGTTTTTTCGGATGAAGCCAATCATGCCAAGGCTTGTTTTAAGTTTTTCTTTGCACTAACCAAAAGTTCTGAAGAGCAATCCTTTGTTTGTTGCTCTCAGTCTATCTATCCTTCCTCACCATATATTTAAGGGAACCTCTGCCAGAGGTTCCAAAAACCCAAGCTTTGATGACCAAAGTGTGGGTGAATTTCCTAATTATTCGGGATCTTTATTGGGGTCTAACTGTGGGTCAAAATTACTTAGCTGACATCAAACTTTATCAGCCGAATTTTGTTTCCAGACAATTCGGCCTATTACAGTCCTGCCCAGTCCCTTAAAGAAATTCTTTCAACTTGTTTAGTTCATGAAGGTAGGAGTTCATTGTATGGATGCAATGTCAAAACGTATCTTTGCATTTTCAAGGGCACTTGAAAACCTCCAAGCTCAAACCTTTTACTCGAACAACTCTTACCACATGGATTTTTGGTAAGTTTTGGGTTAAGTTCCTCGGTGATAGATTTGCCATGTCACTCGAAGTACCCATGGGCGTTTCTTTAGCTGGCTTGAGTTGGGGTTCCAATTACCAAAAGAAAGGTAAGAAGTCTTTTAACTGAACTTATCCCATAATTAAAATTCTTTCTCATTGTTGTTTACTTTTTAGGCAAAGGGAAAAAATGAAAAGGCATGGCTGACACTGAGGCTGAAATAGAGCCTGTGGTTGAGGTTTATGTGGCCAAAGCGACTAGTGTTATGGCCCCGTTAGCAATGTTAATCAAGGAAACCTCCCAAGGTACAAATCCTTTCCCCCTTTTGGTCCTTTCTAGCTTTCATCTAGATCTTAATTCTAGCGTTTTCAATAGGAGCCCAAGTTCAAGTGTCTTCCCCCACCGTGACCTCATCGAGGTTGGTGTGTGAGACACATAGAGCTAGGAAAAACCCAACTTCGCCTCAAGTTAGTTTGACTCAAGCCCCCACCGGGACCTCTCCCTCCGCTGTATCTGTTGATCTGCCAATAATGTCAGGTTCACTTCCTTCGGCTCAAATGACTCAAATATCAACCCACTTTAGTCTCATCAGCTCCAGTGATGAGGAAGAAGAAGAAGGTGATGGTGAAGAAAGCGAGGACAAAGAAGAAGAAGACTCTTATAAAAGCGAAACTGTTTGGGATGACCCGATCATTACTACCACGCTTCTAGGTAAAATACTTCATCCTTTTGCCTTTTATATCTTTTATATGATCCGGCCTAACCCTTTTATATTTTTAGAGAAGAAAATAAGGAGACTTTTCAAGTGCGTTGAAGTAAAACATAGGCGAGCCAAGAAAGCGATCGCTTCTCATGAGCCTAGCAAATTAATAACCCTGATTTCATCTGGTTTTGCTGCTCCTGAGGTATCTGAATTTTTGTAACCCTCCGCCTTATTCTCGATTTTTTAAACTCACGATCATGACCTCCTATTTGGCTTAAGGTTGTGGCCCCACAAGCGTTGGCCATTTCTACAATCCAAACTTCCTCAACGAAGACTTCTCAAGTCGTGAGCTCTCAAACATTAGCGACTTCATTCACCCAAAGTGCTCCTTCCATAGCTTTCGAAGTTCTACAACCTACCGTCCTTGATGCTGCAGTATCTATCCCTTAGGCAACTTATTTGGCCGAGGTGACAACGCCAACTTCACTTTTGATGTCTTTTCCTGCAACCTTTTCATACTCTGTCTCGGTTTGCTCGGCAGTATCAGAAGCTATCTTAACGTTCCCCTTTTTCACTTCATCCCCTCCATTATCACCATTGGCATGTTTTCTGAATGGGTCAAGGCCATCACCTTTGGTCGAAATTTTCTGAAATTTGTCCCCTCTCTCAGTAAACATCTATTTGGTCTTTCTTATTCCCACTTCAACATGTGTACTTAGAAAAATTTCTTTTGCACAACTGCTATGATTTCATTTTATACCTATCATCCCTATTCCATTGGTGCCAATGACTATCCCTTCGATCAGTATGCAAGAATCAAAGCCATTCCTCGTTTCCCCAACCAGACCCTGCTCTGGCACAACCATACACTACTTTGGCCGAATTTCCTAAAATGTTAGATCAAACCACTTAAGGAGTATGGTTTTTTTTTTTTTTTTTTTGGACTTATTTATTTTTGCTTTCAGCCTTTTAATGGACTATCTTCCTTGGTTTCAGGCGACCCAGGCAACCTCGGTTGGCCCTGTGGGCTTCACTTACCAAGGAAACTTAGAGCTCATCTTCCTCACGACCACTTGATGTTGACGCAAGTGAGTGTTGGCGGATCTTGACGGATTTCTCTCAGCAAGCATTTATTTTATGGCCAAAAGAGACAATTATATAAATAAAAAAATTTAGGGTTCGTTTAGACAAGGCAATGTCACACAGTCTCTTAGACACAGGCTTCCTAACGGAACTTGATTGGCTCCTCAATATTGGTGACTGTGAAGTTCTTAGCTTCCTTACAATGCAAATGCAATTGGCCGAGGGCGAAAGGTTCGAAGCTTCATACCAAACGACTCGTTCTAAGATTCATGGTAAGCTTACCAAGCTTGAAAACTAGAAGAAGAGAGAAAATCAGAACTGACGGATTTTGACCGCAAATTGCCAAACTACAAACCCGCCGAGCCAAATTATTCGGATATACTGAAGCTCCGTCGGCCCAAGTGGATGAAGGATATACTCAAGCCAAACCTGAACTTGAGCAATTCCAAAGTCTGCAAAATGTGATGGCTGTGTTTAAAGAAAACAAGAGAAACCGTGTGACCATGGATAGAGGTGAATCGGTCTAGACACAAGCCTTTTGTGGGCTATGTTGGACGAAGATATTATGCAAACTATTTTCGTACTGATTTTTGTTCTGTCTTCGTGACCATTTGTTTGTATTTTAAAATCCATTTTTGCTCAATAGAGAGGCGTAAGGCATTGAGAGACCTAGGCAGGGAGTAGCAACCTTGAATTAGGAGGAGAAGATAAGGAAAGCATAAAACCCATAATATTAAAATGGCAAGCCTTAGGAGAATCTTGTTTACATGTTCTTCTGGAGAAGCAAGCTCTAGTAGCAGTTCTAGCCATAGAACCCTAAGGTCAAAAACTCTCAAAAAATAACCATGCGAGACGTAGAAAAGGAGTTATGCAACTGGGATATACCTAGAGTACCCATCACTGATATATACTATAAAGGATCTTTCAAGTTTAGATCTAATTACACAATAAAAGTTGTTGGAAAAATGATATCCATCATTGATAAAAATGATAGTTTCCAGCTATTTACTCAGCGTCAAATCGACCAACATCTGGATAGAAAATATAACTATTTGCACATAGGCTTGGTGCAGGTAGCTGTGAAACCACTTACCAGAAAAGAATTCCCCAGTTCAATCTTGCTATGTGTAAGAGATGGAAGACATAGAAAGTTCACAGATTCTTTGTTAGGAATGGTCGAGTCAACCTTAGAGCAACTCCAGTGCTGCTATCAAACTGGGCAAAAGGCCCCCCTGGCAAGCCCAATGCAGCTCCAGCGCACAACTTGCAACCCTGGCAAGCCTTGGGTCCCACCAGCCCGGGCAAGCCCAAGGGCAGATTTTGCCTGGGCTTCAGCCCGAGGGCGCTGACGTCAGCGCTGATGTTATGCTAACGTCAGCGAGCAAAAAAAATTCAAAAAAATTATAAAAAAATTCAATTTTTTAAAAAAAAAATACCAAAAAATTCAATTTTTTAAAAAAAAAATACCAAAAAATTATATTTTTTAAAAAAAAAATACCAAAAAATTATGGATGTTTTCCCTATAAATACGTAACAATTTTATTCACTTTCCCTATAAATACATAACAATTTTATATTTTGTTGCATATATATATTTTTTTCTTGCCCTTGACTTGCCTTAGACTTTGCCCTCATGGGTGGAACCACAAATGCAAAGGCTGACACTATTCACGTGAATAGTGGCAGCCTTTGCTTGCCCTTGCCTTAGACTTAGCCCTTGTGGGTGGAGATGCTCTTAGGGGAAGACCCAATATATTTTAACTGCTATCCAAACTTTCTGTTGCACTTTCTGATATAAATGTCTTAAAAGCTTTAACGTTGAATATTCAAACTCAGGGTTATGATATGGACCAATCCCAAAATCTAGCAATCACTTATAGGGTTTCATGTAAGGTAATGAACATTGTCTGTCCCAAACCAACCTTGAAAAGTCAAACGTAGCAGTCCCAAAAATGATAAAGGGGAGTGATATAACTCTTCCAGAAAAATGGATTTTGGATGAAGTAGCCCCAAGAAAGCCTCTTGAAAATCAGTAGCCTATGCGGATCTCAAAATTCACTGATGGAGAAGTAGAGATACAATTCTCTAGTGCTAGAAAAACTAGGATTGATCTAGCACCCTCTAGATCTAACTAAAACCACACAGATTGAGTACCTCCTCTGATGGAGCTTACAATCTAGACCATGAAAGAATGGTTCTAGCAGGACTTAGGAGAACTCAGGAACAAATACAGAGGCCATCCTATAGGTTCAAACAAACCATTCCAAACATAGGTTTCAGAAGGAGTCCGCATCAACCTGAACCAACATTTTCTGATGTAGAATTTGAAATAAATATGATAAAATATTTTGAAATCGAACATGAAAAGATCAAAAGAAATTATCTGAGTATTGAAAATGTTGATAAAAGAATTTGGTTTAAAACAGCCTTTCAGAAGCATAGGCAAGACCATCTCTAGAAAGCTCACACCGCTTTCATGAAAGAAAAGAAAATCAACTGTTTTTTCTTTGCGTGGTTAGATTGGTGTGCTAAGAGATATAAAATCCCTGAATATAGGAGTCATATAGAAATGATAGGAAGCCCGTTCCCGACTTATACTTCCAAAGATGGGAAGTCAGTCAAAGCCATACATCCACCTGAGATGGTGATTAAACAGAAGGATGTGATAGCAACTCCCTACAAAGAAACCATTTTCCTTGAAGATAGTGCCAATAGTTTTCGCACAGTTAGTAAAGAAGATAGAGGCGCAGTTATTTAGCAGAATAACTATACCAACCTGTTTCTGCAGTCTCTAGGAAAGCAAGTTACCAGGATTAAAACATATATTTTCATGAAGGAACAGAAATCCGAACTAGGTCCCTCAGAAACCAAAAAGAATAAGGAAATGAGTCAAGCATTCTTTAAATCACCTCCCGCCTTAGATAATAAAAACTTTAAAATGGGAAGAACATTGTCTAAAGACGAAAACTTTGTTGACGTCTTGGCAAAGAAATTGTCAGGATTGAATCTATCAGATAAAGGAAATGGTCCTCAAGTGTCGGTTCTCACCGAAGGGGAAATAGATAACCTTAAAAAATATTTAAAGAAGAACAACCTAAAATTAATAGGTTAACAAATGAGAAGAGATTTACTCAAACTGCTAAGACTAAAAACTACTACCCTAGACCCACGCAAGTAGATTTACAGTTTGAGGAAGATGGAATGTGGAATACCGCCCAGCATCACGGAAGCTCCATAGTTGAATGGAATATTGATGGTCTGACAGAATATCATATCATTAATACAATGAAACATATGATTATGTATGCTACAACCTCTAAGATAAAAGGAAATGGAGATAGGAGGGTGGCTGAAGCTACCATCGCATGCTTTGTCAGTCAATTAAAAGGATGGTGGGATTTCCACCTAAGAGACCCGGCAAGGACTCAAATCTTAAATGCTCAAGAGGCCATTGGCCAGCAGAGTGTACAGGACCCAGCAACTGGAGTAATCAAAAGTGAAAAAGTTTACCAAGAAGATACGGTAAATTCACTAATTTGTACAATCACTCTATATTTTGTAGGAACTACAGAATTGCAGCACGACAGGTCTCGAGAACTCTTAATGAACCTTAAGTATCCAACCTTGTCCCATTTTAGATGGTATAAGGATGTGTTCTATTCTAAGGTATTTACAAGACAAGACTATAATGCTGATTTCTGGAAAGAGAAATTTCTTTTGGGATTACCAATTCTATTCGCCGAAAAGGTTAGAAATGGAATTAAAGATAAAAATAGTGGTGTCATTCCTTATGGGTCATATACCTATGGGGAATTATCCTCTAAAATTTGCGTAGAAGGATTAGCCCTTTGCACAAACATGAAATTAAAGAAACAGCTTGATAAGCAAAAGACCCTAGGAAGAAAACAATTAGGAGACTTTTGTGAACAATTTGGTTTTGAACCAGTAAAATCATATTCACATAAACCACATAAAAAGGGAAAGAAATTTTGGGGGCGTAAGACTAAGAAACCGTATAGAACCTTTAGGAAAAAGAAATATGTAGGAGAAACTAGTGAAAAGACTAGTAAAGGAAAGAAAAGTGCGGTCCCAACATGCTATAAGTGTGAAAAAGTTGGACACTACAAATCTGAATGTAAAATGAAAGATAAAACTAGTAACTTAAGCGTTAGGGAAGAACTTAAGCAACAACTTTGCCAAATAATGCTTAATTCCTCTGGTTTTGAGCAAGATAGTGATGATGAACTAGCTCAACTCGAAAATGAAGAATTATTTGAATCAGATATTGAAACTAGCTCAGATAGCGAAGACTAGTGCGCATGTCAATTCAATGATCTTAGAATATGCATCATAAAAAAGGAAGAAAGTCTGATAATAGACTTAATTGACAAGATAGAAGATCCAGAGAAAAAGAGAGAAGCGTTACAGAGTTATATCTCACTAGCTAAAGCAGGACCAAGTAACCTGCAACCATATATAACTAATGTGAGACAACCAGTTGAAAACTATAGCTTTAAAACTATAGTAAACAAGATGAATGATAAAATTCATAAGAAAGAACCTACTCTCAATGACCTTTAGTGTGAAGTTTATGATGTGAAAGAAGAACTTAGGGAGTTTTAAAATAGGGTTAGAGTTCTAGAACTCTATTGTCCTTTTTCATAAAAAGATAAAGAAGAAAAACTGAGCAATTAGAGTTTGAAAATCTAATGGGAGAATTTCAAGAGAAAATGGAACCTATGAGAAGAGAAGCCCTACAAGAAGAGCAGGTTAGTACCATGAAATTTGTTAATAGCATAGATAGAGTGATAGCACAGAAATGGTATGTGATGATAACTATTGTGATTAATAAAACCTATAAGTTTATAGTTGAAGGGCTGATAGACACATGAGCCAATCTTAATTATATAAATGAAGGAGTGGTACCTACTAGGTATTTTCATAAAACTACCCAGGTTCTACATACAATCATTAATAGCCAGAAATTGGGAATTTAATTTAAATTATCTAACGTTGTTGTGCTTAGTCAGGGTATTTGTTTTGAAACCCCTTTTGTTCTGGTAAAAGGTTTAAACCAGTCTCTAATATTAGGAACACCATTCATTAATATGCTTTATCCTTTCTCTGTTTCTGAAGAATGAATTAGAACTGAGTAGAAGGTCAACTATAATCTTTAGGTTTTCTCAACCACCAAAAAATAAAAAGGAAAGAAAACTATCTATATCATTTGAAAGAAGAAATGCAACACAAAAGAATAGAGGAGCAACTGCAAAATGATAAGATAAAAGAAAGAATTGATGAAATCCAAAAGATGTTCAAAAATCAAGTTTGTGCTAAAATACCCAATGCCTTTTGGAATAGAAAGGGGCACATAATTGAAATGCCATATGAGCCTGATTTTGATGAAAAGGAAATCCTAACCAAAGCCAGGCCAATTCAAATGAATGCTAGGTTAATGGAAATTTGTAAATCTGAAATACCAGATTTATTGAACAAAAAGTTAATCAGGAAAGCTCATCTCCTTGGAGCTGTTTTGCCTTTTATGTTGAAAACGCGGCTGAATTGGAAAGAGGAGCACCCATATTGGTAATAAACTATAAACCTCTCAATAAAGCCTTAAAATGGGTCAGATACCCGATTCCTAATAAAAAGGATATCTTGGATAGACTAAATAAGGCAGTCATATTTTCTAAATTTGATATGAAATCAGGATATTGGCAAATCCAGATCATCGAAAAGGATAGGTACAAAACAGCCTTTAATGTCCCCTTTGGACGTTACAAATGGAATGTTCTACCTTTTGGATTGAAAAATGCCCCTTATGAATTTCAAAATATTATGAATGTGTTGTGAAACTAGGGAATTTGTAAGGAGAAATAAGAGGAAGAAAGAGGCAGTATAATTTGCTCAAATCAACTTGTATTCCATTCATATTTGGATCCACCATTTATAAGGGTACAGAGGCCTAAATCATTTACCAACCATTATTGGTAGGTTACAAGTATATAATGATGGGTATTATGATAGGTTATTAGTGGCTATTATTGTGGGCATCCATAACCTATGAACCCATAACGTATGGATTTATAACACTCCCCCTTGGATGTCCACCATACAATGACATCATGTTGGACGTGCTAAATGTTGCCTCGTTAAAAACCTTGTCAGGAAAAACCACATGGGATAAAAACCTGATCGAAGGAAAAAAGAGTACATTGCACATACATCCGATGTAGTAAAACTGAGGAGTTTCCTCGATTGATATCTCCCCTTGATCTTCAACAGTCTGATTGCTTGTAAAGTCGTCGCATCCCTATACCAATACCAACTTCTGAAATATAGACTTCGGAAGAGATTCGGTGAAGAGGTTTGCCAGGTTATCTTGGGAACGAATTTGCTTGACTTCAATCTCTTGATTCTTCTGAAGCTCATGCGGGTAAAAGAACTTTGGTGGTATATCTTTGGTTCTGTCACCCTTGATAAACCCTTCTTTAATTTGAGCTATACAAGCAACATTGTCTTCATACATGATTGTTGGAGCTTTGTTGTTGAAGAAAGATCACATGTTTTCCAAATATGATGAACTAGGGATCTCAACCAAACACATTCTCTACTGGCCTCATGGAGCGCAAGAATTTCTGCATGATTAGAAGAGGTAGCAACCAAAGTTTGTTTTGTAGATCGCCATGAGATCGCTGTATTTCCACAAGTAAACACATAACCAATTCGAGAGTGACCCTTATGTGGATTAGAGAGATACCCAGAATCCGCTTATCCAACAAGATTTGGACCATTGGAAGGTTCGTTCGAATAAAATAGGCCCATATCAATTGTTCCACGAAGGTAGTGCAAGATATGCTTTATACCATTCCAGTGTCTACGTGTTGGAGTTGAGATATACCTGGCTAATAAGTTTATTGAAAATGCAATATCTGGCCTAGTACATTGGGCTAAATATAATAAAGCACCTATCGCACTAAGATAAGGTACTTCTGGGTCAAGTATCATTTCATCATCCTCTTTAGGACGGAATGGGTCTTTATTTGTGTCTGATGGACGAACTACCATTGGAGTGCTCAACGAGTGGGCATTGTCCATATAAAATCGCTTCAAAAAAATTTCAATGTAAGCTAATTGATGGACAAGAATACCATTGAGATGATGCTCGATTTGCAAGCCCAAACAATATTTAGTTTTTCCAAGGTCTTTCATCTCAAATTCACACTTTAAATATTCAGTAGTTTTAATGATCTCTTCAGGAGTTCCAATTAAGTTCATGTTATCGACATATTGCAAATCCAGAATTTGATTTCTTTATAAAAACACAAGGGCATATGGGATCATTGATGTAGCCTTCCTTAATCAAATATTCACTAAGACGGTTGTACCACATTCGTCCGGATTGTTTCAACGCATATAATAAATGTCTCAACTCAATGGAGTACATGTTCCGTGATTTAGTTTTTGATTATGCCAACTTGAGTCCTTCTGGACTTTCATAAAAATATTAGCATCTAACTCCCCATACAAGTATGCAGTAACAACGTCCATAAGACGCATGTCAAGTTTATCTAAAATAGTAAGACTTATTAAGTAACGGAACGTAATTGCATCCATAACAGGAGAATATGTTTCTTCATAATCAATCCCAGGCCTTTGAGAAAATCCTTGCGCAACGAGTCGTGCCTTATACCTTGCAATCTCATTTTTCTCATTACGCTTTCTTGTGAACACCCATTTATATCCCACAGGTTTTACACCTTGTGGTGTTTGAACCACAGGTCCGAATACACCACGTTTTTCCAAGGAATTTAACTCAACTTGGATTGCGTCTTTCCACTTTGGCCAATCAGGCCTTTCTTTGCATTCATCAATAGATCGTGGTTCAATATCTTTATGACCTTTTATAATTTCAGCAGCTACTGCGAAAGAAAAAATATCATCGATAACCATTTAACTAAGGTCCCACAATTCATCATTGCATGCAAAATTTACAGAAATTTCTGTATTAGGTATCTTTTCCTCTTTAGTGGCTTGTGTCTTTTCAATGACATTTTCACTCTCTGGATGAATTGTAGGTTCAAGGTCAATCTCTTTCCCAATAATATTTTCATGAGCGTTTTCATTGGGGTTGGAATATGCTTTCGATTTTCGCTTTCTAAGAGCTGAGTCCTTCGAACCAATGGGTCTACCTTGCTTCAGCCGTGCAGTAGATGATTCATTTGCTGCTACATTGGTTAATCTGATTGGGATATCAATCCTTGCTGGTGTATTTGCTATAGGTATATGTGATTTTATCACTTCTCCTGTGTCAGTGAATGCATCTGGCATTTGATTAGCAATTTTCTAAAGGTGGACAATCTTTCCTACTTCATTTTCACTTTGAGTTGACAAGGGTCAAGATGAGACATAATGGATATGTTCCAACCTAATTCACGCCGTTCTTCAGGAACAGTCTTTTCTCCTCCTAAAGGCGGGAAGAATGTCTCATCATAGTGACAATCCGAGAAACGTGCTGTGAAAGTATCTCCTGTCATAGGTTCGAGATAGCGAATGATAGTTTGTGAATCAAAACCAATGTATATTCCCAATCGACATTGAGGACCCATTTTAGTGCGTTGTGGGGGTGCAATTGGCACATAAATTGCACAACCAAAAACCCTTAAATGTGATATATTGGGTTGTCTCCCAAAGGCAAGTTGTAAAGGGGAGAATTGGTGTTGGGCAACGGGCCTCAAGCGGACTAAAGTTGCTCTATGTAAAATTGCATACCCCCAAGCAGAAGTTGGCAACGTTGTCTTCAATAGCAAAGTGCAAGCAATGAGCTGGAAATGCTTGATAAAAGCTTCTGCTAATCCATTTTGAGTATGGATACAGGCAACTGGGTGCTCAACATCAATCCTACGTGACATGCAATAGGCATCAAAAGTTTGGGAGGTAAACTCACCAGCATTATCAAGTCAAATTGACTTTATTGGATAATCAGGGAATTGTGCTTGTAATTTAATTATCTAAGCAAGGAGCCTAGCAAAAGCAACATTGCAAGTTGACAATAGGCAAACGTGTGACCATCTTGAAGATGCATCGATTAAAACCATAAAATAACAAAAATGGTCCACATGATGGGTGAATTGGCCCACAAATATCCCCTTGAATTCTCTGTAAGAAAGATGGACATTCAAAGCCAAGTTTTGACGGAGATGGTCTGATGATCAATTTCCCTTGGGAGCAAGCTTTGCAAGACTAGTCAATGGACAAAGTACTATTGTGAGGCTTTAAAGGATGTCCATTTGAATTTGAAATAATCTTACGCATCATTGTGGATCCAAGATGCCCAAGATGATCGTGCCAAAGCATGAAAGTCTTTGGGTCAATGAACTTATGGTTCATGATAGCATGGGCTTCAACTGCTTTGATGGTTGTATAATACAACCCAGAAGAGAAAGCAGGAAGTGTTTCCAATATACACCTCTGGCTGTTGATATTGGTGGTAATGCAAAGATACTCCACATTGTGATCCTTTCTAGTTTCAATATGGTATCCATTCATTCGAATGTCTTTAAAGCTAAGTAAATTTCTTCTCAATCTCAAAGAGTACAAAGCATTATCAATGGTGACTTGAGTCCCATTGGGTAACAAAATTTGAGCTCTTCTAGAGCCATCAATTAGGTTTGCAGAACCTAGTATGGTAGTTACCTTTACTACTTTGATAAATGTAAATTATCAAAATATTTTTTTTCTCAAAGAATTGTGTGCGTAGTTGCACTATCCGCAAGACAAATATCTTCGTCATTTCTCCCAAAACGAGAACATCCATGATTGTTTTCCATGCCTTCAAATTTATAAGAATATATATATATATATATATATATATATTAAAATGTTATTCGAAAAAATAATGCAAATAAATAAAATGCAAATAAAGTCTTTTATTCAATTTTATTCAATGAAAAAGATCCAAACTAACATGTGAAAAAGGAAAAATAAAAATAAACAAGAAATAAACTTAGCTCAAACAACATAAAGCGAAGGAAAAAAATTACAGCAAAATTAATTGGGGAGCATCCCACCACCAATCATAGGATCAAAAGATTTGCCATCAATATCAACAAAGAAGTCTGAAACATCAAGGTGAGTTGCATCCACTGGTTCTAACTTTGTTGGATCAGCATCCATCCAATATGTCTCAACCTTTTTTTCTTTGCCCTTGATTGAGGCTTGGTAAAGATCAACCAAATGTTTTGGCGTGCGGCATACATGTGCCCAATGCCTATTTGTACCACACCTATGACATGCTTCCTCAATCACCCTGTCAGCTGAATGTTGGGAGCCATTTGCCTTATATTGTTTGTTCAACTACTGGTGGTTATGGGATGCTTAGGTATTTCTTGGACCCAAGTGGTTGCTATTACTGTTTTGGTCTTGACCATTACGTGTAATAACTCAAACCTAAAATTAATATTTAATTATTAATTTATTGGAGGAAAAGACTAAAATGCCCTTAGAATTTTTATTAGGTCAGAGGTTGACTTTTTGACTAAAAAGGAATTTGAAAATTTCAGTTATACTGTTACGTAGAGCGTAGCAAGATGAATTCGTAGACACGTAGTAAGCCCAAATCCGAGTTGTATTGAAGGAGATACAGTCAAAATAATTTCAAAGGCAAAATAGTAAATTTGGATGGTCAGTTTTTTTAAAAACCTTCATCTTCTCTCTCTCTCCTGTCGCACCCGAGCCCCCTCTCCCCTGATTTTCCCTCCAGCCGATGGCTTCCAAGAGCCATCGCCGCCACCACAGGCCATGGCGGGCCATGGGACCGGACTCAAACGGACCGGGCAGCCTCCCCCTTCCCTTTCCGGTCAAACCCCACTGTCAAAATCGCCAGGAGCTGTCGGAATTAGCACAGGAATAGCCGATTTTTAACAGAATTTTCGAGCTTCCATTCTCCCTCCTCCGGCCACCAAATCAGTCGAGTAAGGTATGGATTTCTAGCTATTTTTCATGCTCTAGCTGATAGTTGAGTAGGATTTGAGGAATTTCTAGCGTGAGAGGTTAATTTCGAACCTAGGGTTCGGCCACTTCCGGACACATTTTGGGGTAGGTCCAAGAACAAAAGTTGTTCCAAATAGGGTGTTTTACCTAGGATAGGAATCTTGAGCCGAGATGTTGAGAATTTCCGGCAAAGCGTTATCGCTTTAGGCACCACTCGTTGTCGGCGCGTGTGGCGGCCCTTGGGCAGCAGGGTGGGGACCAGAGTCAGCCCTAGAATAATCTCCTAGTCCCCACGAGCGCGTAGGATTTCGTGGATCTTAATTTGGTTAACATTTGAACTCCGAACGGATCTCGCATAGTGTGTGATTTCCGGGTTCAATAGTTTCAAACCGTTGGATCGTAACCATTTTCAGATATGGTAATCTAGACTTGGTCAGGATCGTATAGTGTTTGACGGATCGTAAAACGGAGTCCCGGATACTCCAGGAATATCAGCCCTAGAGCGAGGTTTATAGTAAACAAACCAGTTATAGGTCAGGGACAGAGTAAAGAACTACGTGTGGCTTGATCCCTCAGAAAGGGTACGTAGGCAGCCTAAAGTTATCAGGAGCAGCCACGAGTTAGGAGCTCAGGGTTTATGTTACTGTTTTCAGGGCATTTTGGTCATTTACGATCCATAGTTACCAGGTGTCAGTTTTAAACTGGATTCGGCCCGGATTTCAAAGTGAAATTTGGGTCGGATCGTTTCATTAAGGGTACCCCTACCACGACCACGTCCTCGAAGACGGTCGCCATGTGATGAGGTAGCATATGCCTCATGAGATGGTGCCAAGGCAGCATTCACTTCATGGAGTGGTGCATATCCAGTTGGACGAGACTGATGGTTCTGCATCAGAAGCTCATTATTCTATTCAGCTAAAAGTAGACAAGATATGAGGTCTGAATACTTGTGGAAAACTCGCTCTCGATATTGTTGTTGCAAAACCACATTGGAGGCATGAAATGTGGTGAAAGTTTTCTCCAATAGGTCTGCATCAGTTATATTCTCTCCACAAAGTCGTAACTTGGAGCTAATTCTAAATAGAGCAGAATTATAGTTAGCCACTGATTTGAAATCCTGTAGATGCAAGTGCATCCAATCATGGCGAGCCTTAGGAAGAATAACCGTCCTCTGATGGTCATATCTTTCCTTGAGATTTCCCCAAAGGGCCAACGGATCCTTGATCGTAAGGTATTCATACTTCAATCCTTCATGGATGTGGCATTTGAGATAAATCATGGCTTTCGCTCGATCCACAGAGGATGCCTCATTGCCTTCCTTAATGGTTTCCCCTAGGTTCATAGCCTCAAGATGAAGTTATTTCCAGAGATGTCAAGTGCAACAAATTCGAGCTTTGGCAAGTTCGACATTTTCTATATAAAATAAAATGGAATATGTTAGAGCTCAAGAAAAATTGTTGATATAGTAAAACATAAATATAATCACCAAAACTTCTGGTTTAGGATGTTTAGGCAATTAGAATTGAGGAACTTCATGCCTTCAATTATTTTGAATCACATAAACTTAGGTTTTGATTCGATAAAAGAACTTCAGGTCCTTATCTATTATGAGGATCGAGGAACTTTAGGCCCAGATCTCTTGTTAAAAAGAAAAAGAAAAAAAAACTCATCATAACATACTATGTTTAAATAAAATAAAATAAAAACTTCAAAGTAGAAAAGAAAGAAAATGAATAAATAAATAGCATACTACTCGTGTTTTAAATAGCTACAACATGCATGCATACAAGTTTTCAATTAATGGTGGTCATATAACAACAACAAAACTACATGTTCAAGCATTCATTGGAGGACCCATAAGCATATAGACTTTAAATTAGGTGATACTCTCGGCAATTTAAATCATGTCAAAAACATGATTTAAAAAAAATTAGCTGTCATCGAGTTTTGTAGGTAAAAGAAAAAATATATATGGATGAACGTAAGCTATAGAGAAGAACATTACCATGAGCTTTCATGTTGATAACGTGTTGTGAAACTAGGGAATTTGTAAGGAGAAATAAGAGGAAGAAAGAGGTAGTATAATTTGCTCAAATCAATTTGTATTCCATTCGTATTTGCAGCCACTATTTATAGGGGTACAGAGGCCTAAATCATTTACCAACCATAATTGGTAGGTTACAAGTATATAATGATGGGTATTATGACAAGTTAATAGTGGTTATTATTGTGCGCATCCATAACCTATAAACCCATAACGTATGGATTTATAACATAATGATATATTTAATCCTTACATTGCTTTTACCATTGTTTATATTGATGATGTTTTAGTTTATCTAAATATTTTCTTGAAAATGAAATTATTTTCTTCAAAAGTTTTGCTTTTTGGGACATAATATTAATAAGGGATTGATAGTTCCGATTCATCGAGCAATATCCTTTGCTAATAAGTTCCCTGATGAAATTAGGGACAAGCAACAATTACAAAGGTTCTTAGGAAGTCTCAATTACATAAAGGAATTTTATAAGGATTTAGCCCAAGACTCAAAATTATTATACCAAAGGTTGAAAAAGAACCTGGTTCCCTGGTCTGATGAACACAATAAATATGTTAGAGACTGAAAGTTAAAGTCAAAGAACCTCCTTGTTTAGCTCTAGCCAACCCAGAAGCTTTTAAAATCGTAGAAACCGATGCTTCAAAAATTGGGTATGGGGGAATCCTAAAACAAAAAGTCAATAACTCGGAACAATTGGTTAGGTTCACCTCTGGAATTTGGAAACCAGCTCAAAAGAATTACTCCACTGTTTCTAAATTCAAAAGTGATGTTTTAAATAAAATATTTTTTTATAAGAGTGGATTGCAAGAATAGATTTTTGCAAGATGGCGAGGAATTCTTTCTGCTTTCGATTTTGATATTGAATTTATTAAAGGTGAAGCTAACGCACCCCCAGACTTCTTAACTCGGGAATTTTTGCAGGGGGCAAACCAAAAGCTTCGAACAGATGACTCCCAGTAAGAGTCCCTCTACTCTTACTAAGTCATCCCCTCTTGATCCAAAGTCACTGATGTCTTCTTCTCCATATAATGAGGGTACAGAGAAGCAAATTGCTGAAAATCCATTACGTGAATATATGAATATGTTTGTAGCAATCATTGAAATGAATGATCTAGATAAACACCCGATTTTTCTAGCTGAAAAATATTTAAGGGATAACCTTCCTCCCTTGAATAAGCCTCGTATTTTCTACGAAACTCTTTTGATTGAAACCAAGTCTGTTAATATTGCTCATCGTCATAAAGGTGAAAATGCCAACACAACAGCATTCTCTAAAATCCAAATTCTAAATGTCATCTCCTTGGAAAAGTGGGGTCCTAGCCCTGAAAGGGCAAAAAGATTTATCCATCCTAAAATTAGGCAATATTCCTATAATTTCTGGGATTATAAAAAAGCGTGGGAATATTTCTTATGTTTTCAAAATCAAAACTATTCTCATACTTGGTTTATCCAGTTTAAGCTTCAAGCTCTGAAAGAACTCCCCAATTGGTTCAAGAGCTTTTTCCTTATTTGGGGTCCTACTTTGGAATACCTTCCTCCTAAAATTAAGGAATCTTTTCAAATGAAATTTTGTAAATGGAATAAAAACCATCCTGATGAAAGGACCTTATTCATGTGGTTCATGATAATGTATGAACAATGATATATTTAATCCTTACATTGCTTTTACCATTGTTTATATTGATGATGTTTTAGTTTATCTAAATATTTTCTTGAAAATGAAATTATTTTCTTCAAAAGTTTTGCTTTTTGGGACATAATATTAATAAGGGATTGATAGTTCCGATTCATCGAGCAATATCCTTTGCTAATAAGTTCCCTGATGAAATTAGGGACAAGCAACAATTACAAAGGTTCTTAGGAAGTCTCAATTACATAAAGGAATTTTATAAGGATTTAGCCCAAGACTCAAAATTATTATACCAAAGGTTGAAAAAGAACCTGGTTCCCTGGTCTGATGAACACAATAAATATGTTAGAGACTGAAAGTTAAAGTCAAAGAACCTCCTTGTTTAGCTCTAGCCAACCCAGAAGCTTTTAAAATCGTAGAAACCGATGCTTCAAAAATTGGGTATGGGGGAATCCTAAAACAAAAAGTCAATAACTCGGAACAATTGGTTAGGTTCACCTCTGGAATTTGGAAACCAGCTCAAAAGAATTACTCCACTGTTTCTAAATTCAAAAGTGATGTTTTAAATAAAATATTTTTTTATAAGAGTGGATTGCAAGAATAGATTTTTGCAAGATGGCGAGGAATTCTTTCTGCTTTCGATTTTGATATTGAATTTATTAAAGGTGAAGCTAACGCACCCCCAGACTTCTTAACTCGGGAATTTTTGCAGGGGGCAAACCAAAAGCTTCGAACAGATGACTCCCAGTAAGAGTCCCTCTACTCTTACTAAGTCATCCCCTCTTGATCCAAAGTCACTGATGTCTTCTTCTCCATATAATGAGGGTACAGAGAAGCAAATTGCTGAAAATCCATTACGTGAATATATGAATATGTTTGTAGCAATCATTGAAATGAATGATCTAGATAAACACCCGATTTTTCTAGCTGAAAAATATTTAAGGGATAACCTTCCTCCCTTGAATAAGCCTCGTATTTTCTACGAAACTCTTTTGATTGAAACCAAGTCTGTTAATATTGCTCATCGTCATAAAGGTGAAAATGCCAACACAACAGCATTCTCTAAAATCCAAATTCTAAATGTCATCTCCTTGGAAAAGTGGGGTCCTAGCCCTGAAAGGGCAAAAAGATTTATCCATCCTAAAATTAGGCAATATTCCTATAATTTCTGGGATTATAAAAAAGCGTGGGAATATTTCTTATGTTTTCAAAATCAAAACTATTCTCATACTTGGTTTATCCAGTTTAAGCTTCAAGCTCTGAAAGAACTCCCCAATTGGTTCAAGAGCTTTTTCCTTATTTGGGGTCCTACTTTGGAATACCTTCCTCCTAAAATTAAGGAATCTTTTCAAATGAAATTTTGTAAATGGAATAAAAACCATCCTGATGAAAGGACCTTATTCATGTGGTTCATGATAATGTATGAACTTCCCTGTATACTAAAATGGGAATATGTTATTTCGGAAGATGGTGATGAGGAATGGACTTATATCCCTAATTTATTCTGAAGTATCTTAATCAGATGGTGGGATAAATTCACTAAAGATCACTTGGCTCCCGCCAAGATCACCCCGACTCTCATCCCATCTTTCGACCTTGTTGCTGCTCAACCTTTGGCCATTTCTTCTGCTAATTTAAGTGTCTTCCAAAGGTTACAACTGTTGATAGACCAGCCAGGCTCAACTTCATCAAAAGAGGACTTGAAAAAGAAAGTTCTTGAGATTCTTGATCTAGATGACGAATCCATGGCATCAGCATCTGCCACTCAGCCTGAAGATGAGGTGGACCCTTTTGCTAACAAAGATATGCTGGACAATTATCATCCAGATCGTTGTGGTGGGCCTCAGTAATATTCTGTCTGATAAAAAGACAATTTGTACTTATTGTAGTGTTACGTTTTCTTGTTGCTTTGTGACTTCCTGTCTCTATTTGACACGTCAACAGCCCCGAGGCTTTAAATAGAGGACTTCTCCTTAGTTGCAAATAATCAAAAAATATCGCCTCAGAAATAAAACTTTGTATGTTTGAGTGTTTTATTTCCAAAGTGCTGCTTCTGCGATGCTTCTGTTAAGCACTACTGCCCTTCTGCTTCCATCTAAGTCTGCTAAATATTAATGATATCGTTTTTAAGTTTGTTATATTCTTATCCTTGGTTTTGGCTTTGTATGTTTGAGTTTCTTATAATTATTTTATTTATTCTCTACGTCTCTACACTACCTTCCGCACATAAGCTTAAAATTGATTAAAATTTTTGCTCTTAAGAGGCTGGTCCAATACCATATATATATATATATATATATACTTTGAAAAATAAAAGAATCTAATCCTAGTGCAAGCATACACCAAATGCAGGATAAGTGTTATCCAACTTAAACTAAGTCAAGCTAAGCCAAGATCTTTAAATGAATATCTACAAAATAGATAGTTTGGATTAGTGAAATACAATGCAGAGTGGGCCCTACAAGGGTGTTCATCAAATAAGCTTATTTGAGGAATCCCTCAAGGGAAGCACTTTGTACATATACTTTGAAAAATAAAAAAATCTAGTCCTAGAACAAGCATACACCAAACACAGGATAAGTGTTATTCAACTTAAACTAAGCTTACCAAGCCAAGATAGTCCCTAAGCATAATCCATGCCAAGACAGTTCT